AGAAAAGATAGTTGGTATGATTTCAATATAAATTTGCTAAGAATTGTGTCCTATGATCTGTCCTGGAAAATGTTCATGTGCACTTGAGAACAATGTATATTCTGCTGTTTGATGAATTGTTCTGTGTTTGTCTAAGAAGTTTATTTGCTCTAAAATATGGTTCAGTTCCAGAGTTTGCCTTGTTGATTTTCTTAACCCAGAGCCTTAGACCACATGGCCACTGTATTGTACATCTTCCTTGTTGACTTTCTGTCTGGACGATCTTCACTTTAGTGCTAGTGGGGTGTTCAAGTCCCCTATTATTTTATTGTCTCTTTCTCCCTTAAGACTTGTATTTGCTTAACATGTTTCGGTGGTCAGGTGTTAGCATCATATATATTTAAGATTGTTAAAATTTTTGTGATGCATGGACCTCTTTATCATTATGTAATGACGTTTGTCAGTTTTACCATTTTTAGCTTGAAGTCTTTTGATATCCACTTGCCTTGAATATCATCTTCCATCCTTTCACTTTGAGCCTACATATTTTTAGAGCTGAAATGAGTGTACTGTAGTGAGCATATAGATGGGTCTTTTTTACCCATTGGCCACTCTGTGCCTTTTGCTGGGTGAGTTCAATTCATTTTACATGTAGGGTGATTATTGATATGTGAGGACTTGCTACTGCCATTTTATCTTTTGCTTTTAGTTATTTTCTCTCCACTGTTTCTTTTTCCTTTTTTTACTGTCTACCTTTGTAAGCTGATGTTTCTCCTTGGCTATTTGCTCAGTCCGTGTTTTGTTTTGTTTTGTGTCTCCTCTAGATTTTTGGTTTGTGGTTACCAGAAGGTTTAGGCAAAATATCTCGTTCATAAAATAGTCATTTTATGCTGATAAAAATTTATCTTCATTTAATTATCTTATTCCTCCCCTTTTATACTTTTGGTTTCATAAATTATGCTATTTGGTTTCACTGTTATGCTGTGAATTGTCAAATGTTAACAGCTATTGTTATTTTTAATGTTTTTTTAAATGTTATACTGTAATTATAGTTTAAAACAGTTATTTCTGTCTCTTGATGCCCTTTTCATCCTTTCAGCTTGAAGAGCTACTTCCAACATTTCAGCCAGTGTTTGTGGTGGTGAATTCACACATTTTATTGGTTTGGGAAATCCTTTCTTTTGCTTTCATATCTGAAGGATAACTTTGTCACTTAAGAGTGTTCTTGCCTGGCAGTTTTTATCTTTAAATTGTTTAAATTTTTAAATTGTTGGAATGTCATTCCATTCTCTCCTGGGGTGTAGAATTGGTGCTGAGAAATCTGATAGCCTAATGGTTTGGGTTCCTTTGTTTTTAACTTCTCTCCCCCTGGCTTTTTATCATTAAGTTTTGACAGTTTCATTATAATTTGCCTTGGAGAAGGTCAAGTTAGCTTTGTATTCTTGTATATTCAGTTCCTTCCCCAGGTTTAGAAAGTTCTCAACCATTATTTCCTTCTATAAACACGCTGCCTCCTCTCTTTTTCTGGTCTACCCTTTAATCTTATAGTGGCTTTTCTAATGGAGTCTGATAGTTATTGTAGGTATGTTCACATTTTAAATATCTTCATTCTCTCCTCTTCCACCTGTCTTCTGGCTTGCTTATTTTCTCTTCCATCTGATCCTGCTCCTCCATTTCCAGGGCTTTCTAATGCATTCTTCATCTCATTTTGTCTTTTTAGTTGTTTTTTAGAATTTCAATCTCTTTGGTAAAGAGATTGAACTCCTTTTGTTCATTAATTTTATTCCTAAGCTCAATGAATTAATTGCCTTTCTGAATTTTCTTGTAGGCTGATATTTTGGATTGTCAGATTGCAGTATTCCATGTCTTTGGGTGCACCTTTTGGGGAATTGTCACTGTACCCTTAAGATACTGTATTGCCATGATTTTTCATAGTGTTTGATGAAATGTGCCTGTGCTGCACATTTAAAGTAGCAGCACCTTTCTTATTTTGGTAAGGCTTTGTTTCCTTTGGTTGACAATTAGAAGACTTTCTTCTGTTTTCCAGAAGGTGGTGCTATAGCACAAGTGTTGGGGTTTTACTGGAAGTGACTGCCCAAGTTGGAAGTCTGCATTAAAAAGATGGCATTTAAAAACAGACTGGGAGCAGGGTGTGGGTTGGTGTGTGCCTAGCACTTAGGGCATTAGGTGTGTTCACGGCCTGCTGGGGCCATCGCAGATTGGGGGGTTCCCAGAGGTTCACGGATGGACCTCTGGCTGGAATCCCAAGACATATGAGAGAAAACACGTCCCTTCAGCAATCTTTGCCTTTTTAATTCCCCTCTACTCGTCAGGGAGGTCTCCAGAAATCTGAGTGTCCCTGAAAAACAAGAGAACCCTCCAGCTGCAGCCCATGCAGCTTTTCTACTGCCTCTGCTAGGGAGATGGCCACTCTCACTGCCACTGCAACTCCCCTGGTTCCATAGCCTCCCTGGACTTCAGGTGCAGAGATGGATGTCCCGGTGTCATGTGCAGAGGCACTTATATTGAGTCGTGGATCTCCAATTGTAAGTCGAAGGGGAGAGAGGAATGTCTCATGCCATTGTGATGCTGACATCACCACCAATGGAGTATCTAAAATGTGCTCACTTTGGAGACTCCTGCAGAAGGTGAAAGGAAGACCCTGGAAGGTTTAAACATTATACGTGATTTGCATTTAGATTGCTCTGGCCTTTAAATGGAACGTAAAGTGGATGTGGGGGTACTGAGACCGAGTTTTAATTCTTGATCTCTTCAGGCATCTGTAGTCTTTTATGTGGTATCAGACGAAGATGACAAAGGCTTAAATGTCGGGAGCCATTTTCTGAACTCATAGGTTGAGTAAGAACTCCTTATGAGGTCAAGGTAAGTTGCATGGACTCTTACATCAAATGGTGACCCCGATATCCACCCCCACCCAATTATTTCAGCTTGAGTACCAACCCCAAGTCACCTTGTTAATTGGTATGGGGAGTGACTCATTCTGGCCTTGATATGATGACTGCACTTTGTGAAGGAAAAGTAAGGTAAGAACTTCTTTTATGGTAATAGGAGCAATACTGCATTCCTGAAAGATTTGCTTTTCTTCATACCTCCCATTAAGCGATGAGCATAACTTTTGCCTTTACTATGCTAATGCCACCTCAGGGCTGTTCCCCATCCTTTTGCATATCAATGTCCTGGGAACTTTTTACTGATAAAAGGATTTATCATCAGAACGCCAAAAATAGAGTCTCAGTGCAGGAAGGCCTGGAACAATGTCAAGCCTTTCTCATCCCTCACTGACACCATCCATTTTGGGACCCCTGGACCTGGCCGGAGTTGGACTCCGGCACTTAAGTAAGGAAATTGGTAGAATGGACAGGAAAGAATGGATCTATAAAATATCTGGAATAGAAAACTTAGCTCTGATAGGCTGGCCACTTAAATACGATTACTAATTTTTTTTATTAGTGTGATATTTGTTATGTCACAGACTAAATCATTTTGGTACTGATTTTGCTAATACTGGATTTACTGAGAGAAATTCTAGTTCCTCACTGCAAGACCCAAGAATAGGGACTTAAGGTTCAGTCTATGGTGAATTAACAAATGAAAAAATACTTCATTTTGGAATTCTGTTTGATTTGGGTATTAGAAGCAAGCAAAATGGGTTCAAACTGAACATCTCAATTTGGAACAAGTACCCCTTTCTTTGAAAATTATCCAAATAACATTTCTGCAAAAGAAACTTCAGGAAAACAGGATAAGGACAAAGTTTAAAAGTCAGTTGAAATTTTCTTTTAATGAAAGACCCAAGAAGAAGCTCCTTTGCGACAGTACATAGCATATGGCTCTTAGGCCATCAGGAGTCCAATGTTTATCCCAGTGCTGAACTGTTACTGGCAGGTGAACAGTGAAGCAGTGTTTCCTCTACTGGCGCTGAGATTGTGATACATTTTTACATGCAGTAAATTCTTTGGTAGACTTAATCTTTCAGTGGAATTACAGAATTTGCAAAGTAGTAGTAAAATATTTCATGTAAAATTTGAGCATAGTACATCTCACCCATAAGCTAAATTTATACAGACTTCAAGGGGGGAAAAAAGTCAATCCTAGTATACTTTTAAAGTATTGCCTCACAATTTGCCAATTAACTTCTGTATTCAGACACGCACACAAAAATGTAAATGAAAGAAAGTGATACAATGAACTTGTAAAATAGGTTCCATTATTTTTCTAGTAATTGGGCATATGGAAACTAATCTGAAGGGCATATGATTTTCTGAAATCCTGGACGGCTACTACTTCCTCCTCTCCATCCCGCCCCCCACCCCAAGAATCTCTAAGGCATCATTTTGGAGCAGCTACCTAACACATCTTAAATAAGTATGTAAATAACAATGGCAATAATTTTAAACTACTACTACTACATCATAATGTCCTCAGGACTTTGCCATATCTTATGTGACGCGTGTAGGTACAGAAAGGTGATCAAAGTAAATCACTCTACTACAAAAAAAGAGAAACCCATGATGGGGGAAGGAGTATCCAATGATTTTCATCTTTCATGACATCGAGGCTCAATATATGTAATGCCATGGAGTCTCTGTGTTGGTTTGGTGTGAAAACTGATGCTCCTTCCCTCCGTCCAGTGACTTCTCTTCTGTCAAGAGGTATATTTCTGGAGTGGTTTGTACTTTGATTTTAAAATCAGAAACTTGTTCTCACTGTGGATCTGGTATAGAAGCATCTTAATATTCTTTGGGTGACTTAGAAGATTAGTGTCATAATCATGTAATTACATATGGGGTTATTTCACTCACGCCACCTGCACTGCTACAGTTCCAAACCCATCCTGGAGAGATGTACAATAAATAGAGCAACTGAATTTCTCTCATAGGTGGGTTCTAACTTCAGAAGACTTTATGCTCTAAAGCTGCCACTGGGATCCAGGGTTCATGGCAACGACGGCCCCCCTCAAACAGTCCTTTCACACAACAGTTTGGACGGGAGTGACGCACTGTGCAGGAGAACTGGCTCTCTCCGAGGATGAGGTTGATCGGTTGGAAATCTCTCTCTGTAGTTCCTCTACTTTCTTCTGGAGCTCCGCTCGTTTAGCAAGAAGTTCTTTATATCTGTTGTGAATGGGCTCCTACAAGAACAAAACAGTGTCAAATCATTCAGCCAGGCAATTAGAAGCAAACCCGAGTGATCATTACAGTATATAGGTCTTTCCCTGAATGCTGCAGCATGTCCTTCTCAGCTGTGGGGCCACGCCCACCTTTCCAGCAGATGGGTGAGAATTAGCTGGACTCTGACAACACCACTCTTTCCCAGTGCCTCCAGGATTTTCTGCAGAATACCCTGAAACTGGTACTTACCCCAAAACAACAAATACGTAACAAGAAAATCTAAAAGACAAAACTCAAGATCTGCTATCACTTATTTGCAGATTTTTAGTCTTTTAAGCAGTTCTAAGTAGTATATATTCCATAACCTACTTCAAAATGGACCAGAATTGTGTTAGGCCTTTTTCCTAAAGCCTTTTCCTCAAACCTATTAAAATGGCCTGTAGAAGTTATCCAGTCCAGGGCACTCATTTTACAGAGGAGGAAAGAAAAGTGTTTCCTCTAAGACCATATGAGCAAAATCAGGGTACGATTTCAAATATATTGATTACCCACCCCCACGCCTCCATGTAGTGCTTTTTCTACTACACAATTATAACTTAATAAGAAAAAGGGCAGGTTTTAAGTATATCTAATTTTCTAGGTGCTTTAAAGGTGACAAACCCGATAGAGTTGAATGGATGAAAACCCCCACTGTCTGCATTACAGCATATACCTGTGGCTTCATCCGTGGATTCCACCTGACGTAGTATCCCACCCAGAGCTCTAGGTGGCGCATGCTGGCTACTGGATAAAGGACATGATTGGAATAGCTCCCGTAAAGAGGATTAGTGAAGTCTTCCAGCTGGCTATTTACGTAAGACCACAGTGACACAGTCCTTTTAGGAAGATTCTATAAGAAGTAAATACAGGTACTTTTAGTTCTTAAAAATCTCTCGAGGGAGAGAACATGGACACTTGCCCCACTTACATTAAGATCAGAGGGTACTGGAAAACATCCTGCAATTCATCAAAGAGTTAAACAAGTTGCATATCAGCAGTTCCACTCTTAGGTATATACCAAAAGAATAGAAACACATGATGTCCAAATCCACATTATTCACTGTAATAGCCAACAGGAAGAAACAACCCGAAGTCCATCAACTGATAAATGGATAAGATGTGGCATATTTATATAGTGGAATCATATTTAGCCATGACAAAGAATAAAGTATCGCTACACACTACACATTGAACCTTGGAAACACGCTAAGTGAAAGACGCCAGACACAAAGGCCTCCTTTTGAATGAGTCCATTAATATGATGTATTCAGAAGAGGCAGATCCATAGATCAGGGTGTGCCAGGGACCAGGAGAGGAGACTGGGGAGTCACTACAATGGGTACTGGGTTCCTTTTCAGTGTTCTCAAGTCCGTGATGCTGACAGTTCTATGACTCCGTAGATATACTTAATTCTACGGGTGGCAAATTTTCTCTCAATAAGTTTTTTTTTGAAAATCAAGATACAGTTAAATTCTATTCAAGGCTATCAAGAGATGAGAAGTATCTCTGGAACCTAGCTATTTTTGAGTAACATTCAACAAGTTCTTAAGGGGTCCCCATGCATGGGAATACCAACTGCATGATGGGCACTGAAGATACGGTGTAGTAAAATTTTTAATATCCATCTTCAAGGAGCTTTCAGTCTACTACATGGCAGTTACTGTAGTGTTTTGTAGTTTATTTTAGTTAACTCTCACAACAGTAGTTTCCCTGACTTACTGAAGCAGAAATTAAGTTGCCCAGGGTTACACAGTAAGAGAGACATCCAGAATCTCAAACCAGGCAGCCCCGCTCCAGAGCAAGCACTTTGTGCTGTGATGCTTTATGGAATAGCATGAATAAACTAGTTTATAACCACATTTTTAGAATGAAAAGTGATGCAGAAGGAGACACCAACCAAGATGGTTTGGAATTTCATACACAGGACAGATGTATTTTGAGGAAGGCAGAAGTAAAACTTGAAACGTAATCCTCACACGGCTTCTTCTAAGTAATACCGACCACTTAACAGTGATTATCTCTGAAGTGGGGAAATGTAAACTTTCTATTTAGTATCTCTTCAGTGTTTGGATGTTTTACAGTATTATTTTACAATTAAAAAAAAGGAAAAACCCTGAAATGGCTCATATGTATGCAGAAGGTATATGGAGATTTGGGCTGTCCGTTCATTCACATAGGTATTTTTTGCTCATGGCATTTTTCTGTACCTGCTTTGGAGGATTTCCATCCTGCAAGGACTAAAGGTAACACTGGTGCTCCTAGGGTTACACATACTTCAGTTCAGGCACCACTTTTCACCCATAAACTCACCTCACAGCTAGCTGGTACCTCCCGCCTTTTTAACAGAGGTACTTGAAAACAAATCAGTTCAGATATATGTAAAAGAGGTAATCACCTTACAATACGTGAAAGAAAATATGGCCGAAGAAATCATCCAAAAGAACTGTTAAGTAGAAATCAGAGAATGCACCCAAGTCTAGGAAACATCACGCATACTGGGAGTAAAGGGAGGAGCGGCATGGCTCATATTTTACCTCTTTTCCTCTCTGCTGTTCACTGTTACAGAGGAATGTTCCAAATAAACAGCTATATAGATGGTCCAAAATGGTGATGAGAAAATATTCATTGAATTCAAATGCTGTAGGAAACTGCAAATTGAATATCATAAACGACAATAAAATTGTTAGCACATTTTTTTCAAGCATATTCATCCCCACATCTGGGTAGATACTTTGTAGTATTTCCTAAAATTAAACAATATTCAGAACTAGATATTTCTAAGCCATTATGGCATTATCTGCTTTATCTATTTAAAAAAATCACTTTATCACTTTTCTGAGATTTCTCCCCAAATCTCCTTTTCTTATGCAGCAAGAGTTTGAATGGTCTGATCTTGGTGCTTCTGTATCTCCTGTGCCTGTTAATCTTAAACTTGTGGAGTAATGAATTTTGACTTTGGCAATAATGGCAACTCTAGCCTTTCTTTGCCAAAAGTGACCATAAACAACGTAATGAGATTTTCTTTAAATTTTCAGTAACATAGTTTTGGTTTCAGGGATAACACAAAAAATATCAGTGTCTCCAGAAAATGTCAGCAGTGTACAAAAATGAAGACCCAAGGCAGACATGCAGATCATTAAAGCCAACTGGTCAAACCAGAGTATCCTGTAATCCAATACTTTGGCAGCCTCTTTCTAACGAAAAGAAAACTCACTTTCTCTATAACCTAGGACAAGAGCTTGAATGGGTATCTTCATATTACATAAACAACACAATTTGGGGGGAACTTCTTCCGGATGGATGACAGATTCCAGGAAGGTAAAGGACTTAGTATAATCCATCCTTATCTATCTAATACTTCAAAGTTATTTGAAAGTCTCCATGAAAATTGTACCAATTATAGGATGGTTAAAAAGAAATTCTGTGAATATTTGGATTGCAGATTTGAGGATACATATTGGTTCCAAGTTTTTGTTAGAATAATCCCTACCCAGTAGACAAGAAAATAGCCTGAACCACAAGCAAGAGGGAGAGGGGTGAAACCACCTTTACCTTGATGTTCCCTAGATTCCTAAGCAGGGTCAAATGGCAAATTTCTCCAACAATGAAGGGTAACTACCCTGCCTTGAGTAATACTTTCTGTGACTGTGAGGCTGAAGCAGGTGATCAAGCACATGCCAACCAAAAGCCAACTACCTGTAAGAAACTTAGTCAAATCCTATTCATTCCTTTACAAAGTAAATCTCATCTCCTAGAATGTGTGACATACTCTTAACAGCCTTATTTGCCAACTATGAATGCACCCAGACTTGTTACATAGCAGTCCAAAGGAGCTAAGCCTGTGGTTAGTTGTTCATTTTCCTGGCAAAACTACCTGCTCGGTTATGAGAAGAGAGGTTCAACAGCGGCCATCTCCTCACAACAAAACAAAAGTGGCAAGGCATGAACTGCAATGAGCAGAGGAGGAATATTTCGCTCCCCTAGTGAGTTGAAAATCTGCAGGGCCCCAGGGTGCCTGGGTGGCTCAGTTGGTTAAGCGTCTGACTTTGGCTCAGGTCATGATCTTGTGGTTCGTGTGTTCGAGCCCTGTGTCAGGCTCTGTGCTGACAGCTCAGAGCCTGGAGCCTGCTTCAGATTCTGTGTGTCCCCCTCTCTACGCCTCCCAAGCTCATGCTCTGTCTGTGTCTCTCAATAATAAATAAACGTTAAAAATTTTTTTAAAAAATCTGCAGGGCCCTTCATCAACTGCATCCTGACCCAGGACTGAGTGGATGCGGGTGGGGGTGGGAGGAGGGGAGAATCTGTCTCCTCACAACATAACTGATATCATTTTGACAAACGTGCTAAGTCTCTGCCCAAAAGTTTAACTATTTATAAAACTGATGATGGCCCATTTATAGAACTGATGTCTAACATGTTCTACCTTCACGAATATCGTACAGAAAAATATAACCTGATGTCTAAAATGAAGACTCATCGCTATCATGTATTTTCAGTTCTATCAGAGAAACTGAAGATTAAACTGATTTTCTATGTATAACTGAAGCTCAGAATTAGAGTTAAGCGCTTTGAGATCTACAGCATAAAATAAGTTCACACGTCACTAAGGAAGAAAGGTATTTATCATGTACTTTTCTTTGCAAATAGTGGGTATATGTGATTTTTTCCCTAACAAACATACCAGAACTAATACATTCACACATGTTGTCTCCTCAAGGTATGTACTTTAGCCATCAAGAGTGCCATGGTTTCAAACAGCTTTTTGAGCCTTTGATATGGCCTATTTAATTTTTGCCAATACTCAAACATTTAAAAATCAAATATGGTAATGGTCTTACTGTTTTCAGTCAGACACCCTAAAAAAGGATTGGTATGAATTTGTATAGCTGCTATACTACCTCAAAAGCAATTCCAAAGGAAAACTTCAAACCTACTCCAAGAAGTAGTAAACATGATTAAACAATGTAGTATCTCCCCTCCCCAGACACACCAAAGGTCTTTTATAGAACAAAACTTGAACTGTTACACACATTTGCAGTATATATACCAACCTCATCATACTGTGGTCATATCTACTACAATGCTTCATTTAACCCAGCAGCTTTAAAAAAAAATAATCCACCCAAACTGAAATGCTTGGGGGGGGGGGGGGAGCGGGAGAAAAACACAGTATTCCATACATAATTGGTGTATTTCACCTGGAGATAACCATTTGTTTTCTTTTAATGAAATAACAGTATTTTCTTGAAACTAAAATAGAATCCCACAGCAAAGCAGAGCCCATAAGTGCCCTATTTCACATTCATGTAGCAGTCTATCTAAAACCAAACCAGACTTCCAGTGGTCTGAGGTCTAATATCCCTCAGGGAAATAGTTAACTGACATATCAATGCACTGTAGCCAAGATCTGAGATGATTTTTGAGTAGAGTTAAATATTTTTCAGACACCAACTCCCTGCCTCATTAGTGAAGTGATCCCATAATAATCCGGATGTTTTTCAATCTCCTTTGGTATCTTTCCAAAAGACTAAATCTATTACCATTAATATTTCTTATCAGTTTGTTAGAAAGTTGATAGAAGATCTAAAAAACAATTTCTCCTTACCTAAGAACAAAAAGAACTGAATCTATTACACACCCACTGAACCATAATTCCCATCTAAACATATTTTTCCATTAAAATTACTTAAAATAGGATTTTATTTTGCTAGAGTTACCTAGCCTATTTCTTCATTTCTTTACCTCTACCTTTCTTAGCAATATATAGACGAACTTCTGGGTAAATATATTGCCATGATCTAACTACTTGTGTAAAATGAGGGAGGAAACCTCTTGGGTTATTAATAATTCCTCTGGCTGAAGTGCTAATGGATCAAACTGTCAAGTGTTATTGCTATCTCCAAATAACATCCTTTAACTTAGCGAGAAATCTTACAAGAATTTCCATTTTACATTAAATGTAGGATAATCATTGACCAAATCTCCCAATTGTGAGTGGCTTAAAGGAAATATGGAAGAATGACTTTCCTAAATAAATTACCTGTCTTGTCATTTGCCAGACACAGTCAATAAACTGAAGAAAAACAGGCGATCGGTCTGCATCTGCGTGGTTCTTATCTCCATGGCCAAGTCTCTGCGGCAGAAAGAGCAAACTCAAATACTGTATGAGCTCTGTGGGACTTTTCTTTTTCATGGAAATAATTTTATTTTCCAATAAAAGTAGTATTTGCTCAATATTTTTTTAAATTCAAAAATCTTTTTAAAAGAGTTGCGGCAAGGAAAATAGAAATCACTCATAATTTTACAAGGTAGAAGTCTTTATTACCATTTTGATGTACAAACAGCCAGATTATTTTCTGACATGAGATGCTTGTAACAGGAATTACAACATTGTTTCATAAATGAAGCCCAAATCTAAAAGGTTAGTAATGGAAGATAGGAGCAGTCAGCTCTCAGAACCTGATGTTTTGTCCCAGAGATTTACTAGTGCCTAAATATTAACAGTTACTTGTACAAAAGCCTCAGGAATCAACCTTCTCCTTTTACACCTTTGGCCAGTGCGTGAAGGGGACCTGCTGTATCTTAGCTCTCATCTGTCCTTATCAAGAAGAATCATGTTAGCACAAACTTTTACCTTTACCTGCTTTGTCAGGTTTTTTCTCTTCTAAGGACCTTTGCCCCGGATGAGTGAAACAGACCCTCCATACTCCAAAGCAGGGATTCTAAAAGTGGGGTCCACAGATTTCTGGGGGTCAAGTGGGGGGTGGGGGGACTCTGTGAGGTCAAAACGATTTTCATAATGATACAAAGACATTATTTGCCTTTTTTAGTGCATTGACATTTGCACTAATGGTGAAGGATAAAACGTTGGGGACCTTAGGGGGAATCAAGCAAGGTACTGGAGTCAAGCGGCATTAGTAGTGTTATATTCTGCCTTGCCACACACTCACAGTTAAGTCAAAGGGGGAAAAAAGCAAGATTCCTTGATGAAGCAGTAAAAAGGAAGCTTATTAAATCTCTCCCCTTAAGGACAGTTTTTTGTTTAAACGTCTTATGAAACAAAGTGGGAAATACACATGATTTTCTTTTAAGTTGATGGTACAAACACTACTTTTGCACGGAACATCATTTTGACTTGAAAGAGCAACTAATATGTGAACTATGATTATTAAGACTTGAATATCCTGCAGATATTTTTTTTTATGTACAAAGTGAATGTGTCATTTCAAGAAAAACAGGGATAAAATTCAAGCTTTGAGTGCCAATTAGATTTGTAGAAAACTACCTGCCACAATAAGTTCAATAATATGCAAACTTTTCTGATAAAATCACTGGTGATATTAACAACTGGGATATTATGATGTTATGTAATAAAATTCATTACCATTGGAAGAGCTGTACAAGTCAGTAAGCCAGTACTTTCCAAGTAACCAATACATGATGTTACAGAATCATGCATGAGTAAAAGAAAGATCTATTCAAAGTACAAGACAGACCAATGGAATTTAATGGAACAAACAATGAAAAGCTCATCGATTTAGTTCTGGACTCCACATTACAAGGATCATAGAAGAAATTAGCATTTGTTAAATTCTGGCATAATATTAAAGAATATCTAGGAGTGCCTGGGTGGCTCTATAGGTTAAGCTCCCAACTCTTGATTGCAGTTCACGTCAAGATCTCACAGTCATGGGGCTGAGCCCTGCATGGGGCTCTACACTGACAGTGCAAAGCCTGCTTGGGATTCTTTCTCTACCTCAGTCATGATTTCACAGTTGGTTCGTGGGATCAAACCCCATGCTGAGCTCTGTGCTGTCAGTGTAGAGCCTGCTTGGAATTCTCTCTCCCTCTCTCTCTCAAAATAAGTAAACTTTAAAAATGGTTAAGTGTCTGCCTTTAGCTCAGGTCATGATCTCACTTACAGTTCATGAGTTCAAGCCCTGCATTGGGCTCTCTGCCATCAGTTCAGAGCCCACTCCAGACCTTCTTTCCCCTCTCTCTCTGCCCCTCCCCTGCCCCTGCGTGTGCGCGCACACACCTTCTCTCAAAAACAATTAAAAAAAAAAAAAACCTTTAAAAAAAGACCCCACAGAGCTCCCTAGCTCTCTTCACCATGTGAGGACACTGTGAGAGGCTCTCAACCTACAACCTCGAATAGGTTAATGGAACCACACTATGCTGGCACCCTGATCTGGGACTTCTAGCTTTCACGACTGTGAGAAATAAATTTCTGTTGAAATTTACAACCCACCCAGTTTGTGGTATTATGTTACACCAAACCAAGCAGACTACAACAATTTATCATTTCTTTAATTAATATTCAAACATTTTTAAAAATTTTAATTTCTAATATGGCAAATATCGGTTGATATAAACCATATATGCAAAGCTCTTTGGAGTCATCAGTAACTGGTAAGAATGGTAAGAGATGCTGAAATGGAAAAGTTTGGGAAGCATCACCCTAAATTAAACAGGTGAGCATATCCTCTTTACGAGGTGTCCCTTAATCGTCAAATTCTGCTTTCAGAACAACTATGGGCAAAAAATGGAGTAGGTATCCAGAGTTAGCAATTTAGGAATCCACAGAAAATTCCAACAGTCTGAAATGTTTACTATTTTGGTCACATTTATATAAACATGGGCAGCTTTGTCTGACTAAAACTTCATTCTTTGAAGTAAAAGGTTTTTTTTTAATGATTTTTTTTCATGATAAGTAGGTTTTACAAAAAATTTAAAAAGGTGATCCATCTGAAGAGATACCCCAGATGCCCAGTTTTATTTAACAGTTCAAGTTCAAAAGAGCAGACTACCATGAAATGTCTGTTTCTTTCAAGTTAGGGGAATCTTGAACAACACAGGCTGGACAGTAAAGGTTCACATTACATGTGGATTTTTTATAGAGTACTATAAATGCATGTTCTCTTCCTAACAATTTTCTTAATAACAGTTTCTTTTCTCTAGCTTATTTTAAGAATATTGTATATAATACATATAACATACAAAGTATGTGTTAACCGATTACATTATCAGTAAGGCTCCCTTCCAGTCAACCATAGGTTATAAGGAGGTAAGTTCTGCGGAGGAATGAACAGTTTTATGTGGATTTTTGACTGCACCCCTAAGCCTCTACTGTGTATTGTGCAGGGGTCATCTGTATTTATAAACACTGTGGCAACCACATAATAGTAAAGGTTACCAGTAGAGACAGTATCTGGGCAAACATCTTTCAGAAAGTCTTTCATCTAATCTAGACAATGCTGCCAGAACTAAGTGGCTTCAATACCTCTGACCATCTAACTCTCCCTCCGTGGTTCTCCAGCTCCACCCACCCTCTTAACCTCTGCTCTTGCCAAGCTCAATCCCACCTAGACTTTTGCTCATCCTTTTTCTCTTTTTTGGGAAAATATTCCTACTGCACACTCTCTAAGCTCTATGATTACAACTAACACACAGGAGCAATACATGAGAACCAAGGCCTACCAGGTCACTGGTCCCAAGTTTTCGGATTGCAAATTTGTCTTTAGCAGAAACACAGCTAAAAACCACTTGAATGTTTGTTTAATTAGCAGGCACATGATATCGAATCCAAAGTATAAAGTGACAAAAAAGCAAATCTGAAAGCTTAGTACCCTTGGAAAGGGACATAACTCCATTCCTCTACTTCGGGAACTGTGATTAGTTCTGGGCACCATACTTGAAAAAAAGGCATGATCAAAGTCCAGAGGACAACTTGGGTCAAGAGGGGATTAAGATGGGGAAAGATTGAATAAAAAAAACCATGAATGTTTAGCCAGAAGAACTGAAGTAAATGCATGAAGTGGGCAGACAGCTACTTCCAAATATTTGAAGGGCTAACTTATCTGTATGAGTAGTCATATCTGTTCTTGTCTTCAAAGGGGAATGTAAGAGAATGGGAAGGAAATTTTAGCTCACTATGAGGAAGAACTTTCTAGTGGGTAGACTTTCTGGAATGAGACCAGATAGCCTGAGGAAGAGACTGGCTGCTGATTTCTGGAGGTGTTAATGAAGAAACTAAACAATCATTTCATGGGGACACCAGAGAAGACATTCAACAATGAATGCCTGGCCTCTGAGGTCCTGCCAACTCAGATTTGAAACCAACAGAAACATCAAAATAAATTTGGAGGCATATAGAAGGCACAAAAATTTGTCATTTCCATAAAACTAACTGCAACACTCTTCATATATACGGTCATTACAGTGTTAGTACTTAAAGAAGAATAATCAAAAAGCTGTTTTATTTGCAACTTGAGTTAAATTATTTTTTTCTCTGATATTTCTTTTGGTCCCACCTGATTTTTCTAAGACCCTGTTTCTGTGTAAGCACTAATACTTTGAAGTATTCTTATATTAAAAATAATAATTAGGAGTGCCTGGGTAGTTCAGTCAGTTAAGCGTTCGACTTCAGCTCAGGTCATGATCACACCATTCCAGAGCTTGAGCCCCGCGGTGGGCTCTGTGCTGACAGCTTGGAGCCTGAAGCTCGCTTCAGATTCTGTGTCTCCCTGTCTCTCTGCCCCTCCCCTGCTCATGCTCTGTCTCTCTCTCAAAAGTAAACATTAAAAAAAAAGTTTTTTAAAGAATAATAATTAAACGATTCTTGGCTTCTTTTACATCTACAGGAATGATTGATTAGAAGTGCCTTTTAACTCGATAAGCATTCATGCTAAACTGAACTGCACTTGACGGTAGAAGACACCTTGTGGAAATCAAGGCATTGTGCCCAATGTTTCCTCTGGTAGTGATCACAGAAGGGACCAAGCCAGACAACAGATGACACAGCTATGAGAGGACATCCTAACGCTTTCCAAAACTAACAAGAACGTTCCCTCTAGAAGTTTATCCCTTTAGTATAAAGGGGTAAGTATTAGATGAGTATCTAATGAATAAAAGGCATTGTTCTCACACGCCGCATTCTAAATGCATGTGATAGATACATCAAGTCAAAGTTCTTTACTCACAAGCTGAAATCGATGTCCAAAGCTTAGCCATTCTTTTTCCACAAGGACTTCAAACCCTCGGATGCTTCGATAGTAGCCGTCCAACATGAGCATGGCAAGGGAGGTGAGCTGAGCTGTGCGGTCCCAGCCATCGCTGCAGTGCACCACCACAGACGTCTTTCCTGACTCTACTTTGTCAGCGATCCTAAGAGCCCCAGCAAGAATGAGCTGCAAAACAGATTTTTTAAAACGAATTTTTTAACAAATTAAGTACTTCCTTCTTCAATATTAACGAACATAGTTTTATTATGGATGACTGTCTCAGTAACGTGGAGAAAAAAATCAGTCCCTTCCTAAGAAGAATTCTTGTACGTGGCAGAAGGTCTATAATATTTTGCCTTTAAAACTAAGAAAATGTCATAAATGCAGGCTATTAGTCTGCACAGAGAGCCAAATGAAGGGTACATTTGGGTTTTATACGAATCAACAGTATGAGTGAGAGAAAAGAAGGATTAAATTGTAAGAGGTCTGTTTTTAAGAATCTTCAAATATCCCAACATCATCTATTTAAATAAAAATAACTCGGCCAAATGAAGTCTTATGCCTTATGTAAACAACGCTTACTTAACCAAATTAGAATAACTATGAAAGCAATAAAATTGGATCTCTCTTAATGCATTCTATAGCTTCTATAGCACTGACTTAACTGTATTTCACAGAGCTTACAGCAAGCATAGTATAAACATTAGAGTAAGCTACTTTTCTGTATCAGTATGAATGAAAACTGCACAGCAGATCAATAGGTTACTCTGTCAGTTTAACTGGTATTTAAAATAATTTCCGTTATTTTTAAAAGAATTACCTTTTCTGAAGTTGATCTTGGGTTAAAACTAGACAGAATTAGATAAAACCAAAAAGAAAGACAACAGTATAATGTCCTTTAAGATGAATACTATAGTCCCATTCTTATCTGCTAGACCATACATACTTAGAGAAGAATACGAGTCCACAAATGTGGATGAGAATGAAAGAAAGGAGATTGACTAGGCTTGGAAAATCGCATGATGACCTTCTTTTGATTGTAACTATAAGCATATTCTGGAAATGGGGTATTCTTAAGCAATGTCAACCTTGGCTATGCCTCAGAGTAATCTGTTAGCATTTTTCAAAGTGTCTTGGCCCCACTCTCCACTAATCCTAGCTATTTTAAATATCTTCCAGTTGTAATTCAAATGTATAATCAAGACATGAATCACTGACCCAAAGGATGAGAACAGCCAGGAAGTTAAGACTGACCAAGAAGTTATCCAAAGTGGTCATCTTCATTCACACATTCATTCGTTTATAAAATAAACCTTTCAGAAGCCCCTTACCATATGACAGGCACTGCTCTAGGTGCTGGAGACAGAGCAGTGAACCGAACAGACAAGGGCTGGCTTAATGATGCTTACATTCTACTCATGTGAGGCCAGCCACATGCAAATAGAGAAAAAATACACACTGTGTCAGAGGGCAGTAAGTGAAGGCACCACACAGAGTCCAGGAAGGGCTGGTGGCACTTTTATTTGGTGTGGTTGGGTAAGTCCTTTCTGAGAAGGTGACATCTGAGCAGAGATTTGAAGAAGGTGAGCAAGTGAGCTTTGCTGCTGTGAGGACTGCGGAAGGAGAAGCCAGTGCAGGCACAGCCACACCTCTTAGACCTCAGAGGAAACTTGCTTCTGTTACAGCAAGCTTTTCAAGAGAATGCTGTATGTGCTCATGTGTTATATGTGCTAGTGAAATGGAGTTTACAGAAGTCGACAATGCAATGTATGTTAGTTTCAAATCATGCCTTACTGTTTTCTATTCATACATCACGCATTGTAACAGATGGGCCACACAAACATGCTCTCTGAGGAATATTTGCACTTGGCTACATTCAAGCTTCTAAACTTCTAGAAAGAGAGAAATAATAAAAATAGTCTCTAATTCTCATGAGGTCAATTTGGTCTTCAGTTTTGTCTGAATTTTAGAGATTCTAATGTGAGAACAAGTCTGCTCCTTCACATGAAAGCTGTCCTTTCCCTTTATTTCATCATATTAATATGTATGTGGTTGTAGAAGTCTACATTTTGGTGTGCTATACTACTGAAATTCAGACCACATCAGAAAACATGCCACAGTATTAACTGCCATAACATGTCGTGCTCCAAACACTATAGTCACATGTCAGGCACATTAGTGCCCATGTGGTAGTCTCCAAATTATTTAGCCTTCACATCCTTCGTGCAATGATTCCATCTCCCTTCCCTGACCAGAGTGGATCCTCACTTCACTAGTCCCACAATAGTCACTACCGGGTGCCAGTTATTTACACAAATAGCGCTGCCCTAGGTCCTGAGGGGTCCAAAAAATTAGTAAGTTATCCAGTCCAAGCTTCCATGAATTAGGAATAAACACTGGCTGACATAAAGTAATTAATGAAGTGCAAGTTTGTACCTGATTGGAAAGAACGTAAAGTGAAAAGTGCACAAAAGATGGAAGTGGAAGTGATCTGCAAGACTTCATGGAAGAAATGGAATCCTAAGTGGGATCTGAATGACAGGTAAAATGCAGAGCGGGGGCAGGGTGGAAAGAGAGGGAAAGAACAGACTATAACAGAACCAGACGTACAGTTTAGGAAACTAATTCACTCAAGCAACACACCTTAGAAGTAGTTCTAATCATCAAAGCAGTTAGCAATTTTTCAGTGTATAGAAAGAGACTGACTTCCATCTTAATTTCAATTGTATGAAAAGTGCCAAACAGACAAAAGGAGAGAGAAAGTCCTTGCTGGATATTCTATAATAATATAAGGAATTAATAAAATATACCTAACCTTAATATGTTCGAGCCAGTGAGTAGATTCCAAGTTAGACAACCAGTGAGTCTCCTCAATGTTAGGGTACACAATCTCCTTAAGTTTTCGTAATGATTCTCTCATAACGTGAATATTATGGATATCAAGAAAAATGAGTTCTGCATTTTGATAGGCATCTTCACTTTCATAACCTCCACCCTTTGCCTGGAAAAAAAGCACACACCACAGGAATTCATAAATGAATGTATACCCACTGTATGTAAACATATATCGAAAAGTGCCATAGAATATCCAACAGCATGAAAGATGACACATATTATTAAGGAATAGGAAAACTCCATGAGAAAATTTCAATGGCTCAGGACATCTTAACACAACTACTCTTTGCTACATGTTCTTTATAAAACAGGAATATACACTCTTACCATGACTTCCTTATATGGCTGTTATAAGAATTAAATGTGATTACATATATGAAGATCAACATTTTAATTTTCATTTTTTGAGAGAGGGAGTGTGCAAGCAGGGTAGGGCAGAGGGTGAGAGAGAGGGAGAGAGAGAGAGAGAGAGAGAGAGAGAGAGAGAGAGAGAGAGAGAATCCTAAGTAGGCTTAACGCTTAGCGTGGAGCCAGGCATGGGGCTTAATGTCACAAACTGTGAAATCATGACCTGAGCTGAAGCCAAGAGTCAGATGCTTAACCAACTGAGCCACCCTGGTGCCCCGACACGTAAGCATTTTAAAGAACTAAACTTTTCCTACCTTTATTTCAAGTTCTACTCAAATATAATTTATTACATCAGACTGAAATCACAAGCTCCATGTGCAGGGACCATATCTATCTAGTTTCTTACTGGCCCATGCTTCTTCACCTGCCTTCCTCTTCATCTCGTTTTAATCTTAACATTTGTAAAGTGCTTTGCAATCATAACGACTTGCTTCAATTTTAGCCACATAATTATTTTTAAAGAAAAAGATGGAACAAGTATAAAAGCACAGAATATCATAATAGATTACCATCTCTACCCTCCAATACTTAAATCTACATCTAAAGAACAGACTTAAAAATATTTGGTGTTAAAAATAAGCTGTGGCTGGAAATAATTTAATTCTTTCAGACTCAGTCTTTCTCTGTTTTTTTTTTTTAAAATAAAATATTCTCCTACCTCCTACCTATCATGGATAAAAATCAAGCTTCTTAAAGAACTAATGGGAAAAAATGAGAAAAATACTAGAATGGCCACTGTAGTTATATAAAATTAAGTGATCATATGACTCACACCACTGAAAACAACAAAACTCACCAACTTATGACTAACAACAAATTTCAAAAAAAAAAAAAAAAAACCCCACAGAAGGTCAAGCTTCCTTTCTGACACTAGATAGTCTGGGGAATTGTTTGGATTCAAGACTGGCACAAGTACAAAGGTAAGCGTGTTTCAGTGGGGACCTGTTAACAAGAATTACTCCTGGAGAGTGGGAACAGAACAGTTTGGGAGTACGAGAGGCTTTCAATTCAAACCGGTTACAACAAATTCTGAAAAGATGGTAGTTGAAACTACACAGAACCTGTCACAAAAACAAACAGAATGAAAATGCTCTGGAATCAGACAGTTGTAGAACTTTGTGAATATACTAAAAATACCGGAATATACACTTAAAAAGAGTGCATTTTATGGCATGTGCACTATATTTCAATAAAATCAATATTAAAAAAACAGCAACTAGATAGTAAAACCAAAAACGCGCAAATCGTTTAAAACAGAAATGGGTACAAGGCATTCAGTGAAACTCCGAAACCACCAAGAGCCACAAGAGCTGAATGCGGTCAGTGAATGTGTGGGAAGCAGCAGAGGAAGTAATGAATGTAAGATGGACTGGAGAAAAGGAGAACCACAAAAGAGCCTTATATTTTATAGTGTTTGTTCTGCTTCTGGTTTTGGCCTTCGTCTTCTGGAACTACAGGAGAGCCCAACAGCTGAATCTCAGAAGTGTAAGCCAGGAAGGGTTCCGTCCATTCTAACAGCCAAGAAATCTAACCGATCTACAGTAGATCTGAAGAGGCCAAAGCAGAGTAATGGCTATGCACTCCCCTAACAGTCTGGCCTGGGATCACTTCTGCTAAGTACGTAATCAAAAGTGAGTAGGACAGAGACCAAGGAAGAGAAGATCCAGACAAAACAAGACAAAGGAAGAGAAGTTTTCAATAAAAGAATGGGGGGAAGGTGCCGGGTGGGAGAGACAGAACAAAGCCAGGGAATCTCAGAAAGTAAGACTTCATATTTTTTAATGCTACATGCAAACAAAAGAGAAGGATCAGTGTAATGCAAGCTCTACTCACCTCTGAGTAAACCTAACTTGAGCCATGTCCTCTAACTCAACAATCACCCTGATGGTTCAGGAAAACTAATTTCACCTAAGAATGAGTACTAGAAAAGGATCAAAGTCAAGTCCCAGAGATGCTATCCTAAAAAGAGAATGAGCAGCATTCATAACACATTCAATGAAAATGCCCCACAAAACTGAAATCTTCTCAAAGCAAGCTAAAGACATTAAAAAATAACAACAAACAAAATAAGTTGGAATTGGAAAATTCAAAAATGAAAATAAAAATAAATTAAATAAAAAGTTAAATTTAATTAAATTAAAGAAAACTCAAAAATGGAGTGAAAGAACTTGGAAACAAATTAGAAATAAGGGTAGAACATCAGGAAGACTAAAGAAGAAACACGAGAATAAACAAACCAGTAGGTATCAAGTTAAAAGAAAGAGAGAAAAGGAAAATATTTACAACCAAAATGAAATTAGAAAGACATAAGAATTGAGAAAGTGACAAACGATGAAGAAAGGCAAAAGAAGAGCCAACACAGAAGTCCTGAAGAAAAAAAAGTCAAAACAAGGAAATGGAATACTAAGAACTAAGATTTTTAAAAACTGCAAGACATTTTTTTAAATTGGAAATTAGAAATTGAAACAGCACACATGTATACCTGAGAATATAGACCCAGAACACACAACATGAAGACATAGTCTGGCCATAACTGTACTTCAAAGAAAAAAAGAAAAGTCCTTTGAATATCCAAGTACAAAGAGTGACCTAGAGAGTAAAGAAATTCAGCTTATCATGAGCCTTTGAAAGTTTATGCCAAAAGAAAATAAGCAACATATTTAAGAAACGCAAGAAAATGACATGTGAGCCAAGGGTTTTATGTCTAGCCAAAGTGACTTTCAAACATAAAGGACACGAGCTCCAATTAGCATGTAAATATTCAGGATATTGTTCCCACACCCCTTGCTGAAATATTTAGAGAACTTCAACAATAATATGTTAATTAATAATAGTAATACTACTAAAAACAACGTCTAGAAAGACATCCATATATGAACTGGTTGTGAGCACAAAACTTAGAGCTACTTGTCGACGTCAAAGGTAAAAGGAAGAGTATGTGTTCAAAAGGGAGAATGTGTCAAGGCTATACGTGCTAACAACGTAAAGGAATATAATGCATTTTTAAAGTGGGGAGATGGGGAGAGCAAATGAGAAAAACTAAGCTTTCTGGTAAGTGCTGTGATGGTGGGATTCGTACTGGTATTCTGAGACTGGGAGGATAAAGCAAACAAGTAGTCACGGAACATACGGATCATCCCCCGTGTCTTTGAAAACCAGGATTCCCAGTGCAGAAGAAAGGAGATACATATGTGACTGAGAAGAAGCTATGTAAACACTGTTTGGCACTGAATTTAAATTGAAAGCAACAGTATGAACTTAGGAGGTACTTTATCTTTAAAATTATGTCAATATCCCCTAACTCTATTCACTGAAAAGACCGTGAAACTGGACACGCCCAGTAGCAAACATCCTCAGCACCCCAGACCATGGCTTGCGATACCATTTTGTAGTAACAGAAACGAGAACTTCTTGGAGAAACAGTTGTTCCAAGTCTGGGGCGGGCGATGTACAAGTCTTTCTGATCAGTCTGGCATATCACCTTACACCAGGTAGAGAAGATTATTAGGGTTATGTCAAAAGAACTTAAAAGATAGCATGAAAAGCCTCCCTCTGACCAAAGATGAGAAATGAGAAATTTTAACTTCAAAAAAATATTATCTGTGATGGATCAGAAAATGTTGAATGTGTTTAAAGACATACATTTGTAATTATACTTTAAAAAGTTAGTCACCTTCATGGGATGATAGCAAGTTCATTACTGGGAAAACTGGCTGATAAGAACGAATCAAGTATTTATCCTGGCTTCCTTATATAAACTAAATTGCTGGTTAATCAAAATATAGACAAAAGACAGTGTTTCTTCATAGAGAGAGTTCAACTAATAGCTGTAAAAGAAATCATAAAATTAAAATACCACCATTTTGCAACCCCATGAATTCATGTATCTAGGCACTGAGCATAAACAGCTGCTAACACCCCCAAAAGGAGAATCAGCTACAAATGATGTGCCTTTTGATATATCCTCTATAGCCTTGCCAAAGGTATTGAACTTGGATCTGAATAAACCTCTAAATTCATGTGAAAGAAATTCAAAGGACAGGAAAAACACTGAACCATACTATAATGCAACAGCAAAATCTGGTCTTGGGAAACTACAGTAAAATGTCAAGAAAAGAAAGAGATGGGGAAAGGGCAAGACTACAGATTAAGAGAGACTTAAAGGACACATCAAATACAAGGTACCTGGTGGCTCAGTCGGTTAAATATCTGACTGCAGATTCTGGTTCAGGTCATGAATTCAGAAGGTGAGTTTGAGCCCCCACATCAGGCTCTCCACTATCAGCATGGGATTCTCTCTCTCTGCCCCTACCCCCTCCTCACACTCCCTCCTTCTCTTCTCTCTCTCAAAATAAACTTAAAAAAAAAAAAAGACGTATCAAATATAGTATTTTAAAAAACAAGGCTAAGGGCATCTGGGGGGCTCAGTCAGTTAAGCGTCTGACCTCGGCTCAGGTCACGATCTCATAGTTTGTGGATTCGAGCCCCACACTGGGCTCTGTGCTGGCACAGCTCAGAGCCTGGAGCCTGCTTTGGATTCTGTCTCTCCCTCTCTATCTCTCCCCATCTCTTGCTTGCATTCTCTCTCTCTCTCTCTCAAAAATAAGTAAACCTTAAAAAAATAATAAAAAATAAAAAATTAAAGAACAAGGATAAACCACAGTCTAGGGATATACACTTCAGTAATGAAATATAAAG